TTTATGCAATTGTAACAACAATCGTAACGCGAGAAATGCGGAAAGATAATTCGAACGAAAGTTCTTCTTTTTTTTTTTCATTTTCGTGCATTTCAGATAGGAAAAGTTTGCACGTTGAACGAAAGAAAAGTCTGTGTTTATCGATGGATCCAGTTGCAGGCGTTAGTTTTTCAAACACTAATAGTGCAATTCTAAATGTTTAATTATCTCGTCTGTTATACTTTCTCGTAATTTATTAATTTAAATAATCGTGTATATCCGATAAGAAGTTTCTCATTTTTCCATTACTATTATTGTACCAGTTGGTGCAATATTTGTTTTTCCTATAATTTATTGATTTACGCGTAATAATCGTGCAACACAAACGAATTATCACGTTCTTCGATCAATCTCTTCTCCTTTAACCTATTTATCGATATTTATATTTGTGATTTCGAAAGAACCAAAGAGAAGATTATAACTATACGTACACTATTTCACCGCGTATTTAAGCGAAAATTATTTATACCCGGAAAAGGAATCTCAATTGCTATCAGCGCCTGAAAAACGTCGTTCTTGTGTAGATATCTGTAAAAGACGATATGTGTTAACCGTAGTAGCACCTTGTACTACAGTATTTGTCCATGTATAAAGGAGAAGCTAACCGCGTAGCGTATGTTCCGTGTATTTATTTGCGTGTTAGTTTTCTGTTTCTCGAAGACCTAGCATCGAGATGTGTACGTTGTAATTAATAGGAGAAAAAAGAAAGAAAGGGGGAAGGAAAAAAGAAAGTGGAACACACATCGACGACGAATACGTTCGGGGAAAATGCCAGGGTCTATTATGTATAGTAATCTCTATCACGCAAGCTTTGTATATGCATTCGTTATATGCAACACGGTCTGATAATTGAGTGCACGAACATTCGAGTGGAATAATTTTATCGGAATTCGAATACTCAAGTAAGCAATCTTGCTTTGTTCAAATTGAAACAATAAATTCGAATATATTCATAATTATTTTTCCATATTTCTACGTTTGTTTACTCGTTGAATTTAATCGATTTTAATTTGAAAGAAGAATTTTTTTTACTTCACGCTTGTTCATTTTTAATCGTTCTTTTTTTATGAAATTTGATACACTAACCAAAATTCAGGATCATCTGGATTTATTGTTTCGATTCGAGTAAATCGAAAATATTTAAGTAGCTAAAATAAAGTTGAGCATTTTGGTCGAACTTGCTCGATTGATCGAAATGTTTGATATATCGAATTGAATTATCGATTATTCGAGACAGTTCAATTATTAGACACGATTCGATAAAACGATTTTCGATTGTTCGATTGAATTTACTAGGAGAGATTTTATTCGACTAGAATTTCGAATACTCGCGACACACTTCGGTGAAATATTTCACTAGACTCAAATTTTTCGAGTAATCGACTGTGCCTCGAGTGCTTTCGAGTACTCGACGCTTTATCCAACGCAGTGTATAATACTCTAACTGACACGTAAATCGCTGATTATTTCAACCAACAATTTGAATCTATGAAAAGGGAACACTATCGAATAGTGAAGTGAATAAAAAAAATGGGGGGAATGAACATCGAAAGAATAACTGAAAGTCGAGCGAAAAAACATAACCAATGAGTGTTTTCAATTGAACGTTTTACGTTGATAGTTTGTTAATCAGAATTTTATTAGGAATGCAACATATAGGATGGAATTGTTACGAAAATCGATCATTGATTTAATCAACGGTATCGATAACTATCTTTAAGTGTTATTTTGAATGTACAAACTCGATTAATCGTTAATCTCAGTTTACATGAAACAACAGTTTACATGACGAAAAAAAAAAAAGGGAATAATCGAAATAATGCATTAAAAAGTGTATCTTAAAAGAAAAAAAAAGAGAGAAATTGATATTCTGATTTAGGAATGATCGTGTTAAAAGAAAAAAAGTAACAAAATATAAAAACTCAAAGCTCGACGTATGTTGTAATAGTAAAATTATAATTAAAAGAGAAGTTATATTCACGCCATTATTCGCGTAGGTAAATGAACGAACAGGAAACGGTGTTCGGTCACAGCTGCTACGTTGATCGAATATATATCGTATGTAACGTGATTTAAGAGGAAAAAAAAAAAAAAACTAGCGACGTACATATTACAAAACATTCTGTAATAGAAGACGCCCGAATTGTGATACGTTTGTAATGTTTATAAGCCGATACCTGTTCATGGAAAAAATTTGTTTAAATCGAAGCCTGTTGATCAACGACCGATTCGTGCCCAGCAATGTCGTTTAAACTGCAACGATCTGTATTGATCATTACTTGTTCTTCACACCTGGTTATTGCACGTACACTCGTTAGCCGCACGAACGATCGTTGACACGTGACATATTCTATCGAGATATCGATTCGACTGTTATCTCGAGCAAAGAAGACTGTAACTATGTTCAGAGCATAACAAACGCAATTTCATTATTAATTGAAACCTTATTACATTGAAAGATATTTTCAAACAAAGTTGGAAATTATTAAAATAATAAATATTCGTTGAATAATTTGTAAATAAGGTTAGTTGCATTTTAACAAAGGAAATAATAATAAATAATGCTGTAAAATCGACCAATTACAGAATATAAAATTTCAATTTATTCTCATTATAAATTTAAACATATCTATCAAAAAGGTCGATATCTCGATCTGCAACATGCTCTGAATATAGAGATAACTACACATTTTCTTCTGTGCACAGATATCGTGTATCTTGTTAAACAATAGAAATTATTCCGACGAATTCACACACGTATATGATGTACAACACGTGACGTGCATTTTTAATTCAATATACGTGTATACACACGTTAGATGAAATGCATAAAGAAAAAAAAATCGTTAATCGAGAATAGCATTGGACCCAGTGAGAAATCGGAATCAGATACAACGAGTTTATCAATATACATGTAGATCTGAGAACAAATATTAAAAAGAATACCTTTTGTTACTCTCTTGAAGTTCTTCGTACGTTACAGTTAGACAACTGAAATTTAAACCTTACAAAAACAGTATGCACATCACAAAGGAACACAACGTCTATTTTATTCTTGATTAACGCAGTAACGCATATTTAAAGAATACGACGAACATAGCCTCTCGATCGAAATCGAGGAAGCGATAGAGGACAACTTCAAACGTATAGTTCGATGAAAGAACGGGGACGTGCCGGAAAAACCACTTAATAATCAGATATAACAAGAAAAGAGAAAAAAAGAAACCGGCTGATTTATTATTCTCAATTTTAATTGATCACAGGCGTAAAACTGTGAACGCTTCATCCTCCGCCAACGGATAAACGCGAAATTTAGAACTGCGCATGCGCACGAGTCATGTGTTTAAAAGAAAGCAATTAACCCTAAAAGAATCGCGCGTAAAAGTTACTTTGGTGTTTTCGTTGAAGATAAAAAAAAAGATAAAAATCCCGACGTATTTACGAGGTAGATGGTAAAAACAACAATAATAATAATTAATAATAATAAATA